TGTGTGTGTGTGTGTGTGTGTGTGTTTGTGGCTGTGTATGTATGTGTGTGTCTGTGTGTGTGTGTAGATTGTGCGTTTCTCTGGGCCTGACAATTCACCTAGACATGAAATAACTCTGTGAAAGGTTATAGTCCTCATAAGTTATATAAACCAGATAATGTCCCTATATGTCGCATAAATATCAGATGTGATCAAAAGTTTTCTTTAGCTAAAATCTCAATAGATGAATGCTTTCCTGAATGCATGGATAGGAAACTCTGGGATTCTCAGACCTGTAGAACCTTTGGAAAGACACGTCCCCATTTGTCCTATTTCCGTTACACGTCCTTATATATACTGAAAACACGTATATCTGTGTGTGTGTGTGTGTGTGTGTGTGTGTGTAGCGTTTCAGTATGGAGGGGCTCTCCAACATCCTGCAGACGGGCATCAGACAGACGTTTGGAAGCACAGGAACCGAAAAGCAGGTAAGCAGCTTCAATAAGAAGAAGCTTTTAACTTTTTAACCCCTTTAACTTCCACATGGACACAAACGCTGCCCAGGATCCAATATCTGTTTGATTCGTGAAGTACTTTTGAATGGAATTGACCCGATCAAACTGGGTTTTTCGAAAACAAAAAATCTTTATCTGATTAAAAAGTTTAAACAAAAAAAGGGTTAAAATACAATGTCCTTGTTTCCTAATTACACAGCAAGCACCGTCAAATAAAAAATCCCAAATCTAAACGACAGTTAAATTACTCCAAACTTACAATAAACATTTCTTTCATTAAATAAATTAACCATAAAAAGCTAAAATATAAATATATAAATTCCTACATTCTAAATTATATTCCCGAATATTCATAATAGCAACATGGCTCTAACAAACTATTTACTTATTTAGCTATTTACACCCTTTTTTGTAATGTGATTACAGCTCAAAAGGTTATATCGGACAAGTATATTCACCCAAAACATGATATTGTCAGTTTGAAATATTCAGATTTAGTTAACACAACAGACTTGTATTTGATTGGGTTGACATTGACGTGTTTCCCCCTTTACCCCGTCTCTGTTTCAGTATCTAAACACCGTCATTCCTTATGAGAAGAGAGCCTCCCCTCCGTCTGTGGACGACCTGCAGATGCTCACCAACAGTAAGGATCCCAGCACAAATGAGATAAAATACATCCAATTTCTATAACTCAAACCCACCGAATAAATGAGATAAAATACATCCAATTTCCATAACTCAAACCCACCGAACGGATCCGCTCACTCTCCTCTTTTTCCCTCCAGTTCTTTATGCCATGAAGGAGGACAGCGACAAGGTGCCCACGCTGCTGACCGACTACATTTTAAAAGGTCATTAATAAATAAATAAACGGTAAACCAGGCGTCGGGCAGCCGGCCGAGTCTTGTTTAATCCATGTGTTCAATTCCACCTTTTGAACTTCCTGTTTGCTTCTTCTTCTTCTTCTTCTTCAAGAAAACTATACTATTATTATTATTACTGACAATATCACAACCACTTTTTCTAGACATATATATACACATATAGTTATTTATGTATATATGTATCTATATTCTGTGTGGAATTTTGTATATATATATATATATATACATATATATATACATATATAGTCAAGTCAAGTAGGCTTTATTGTCAATTTCTTTACATGCAAAGAATTGAAATTTCGTTTCTTGCTTTCCCGTGCAGACATAGACATAAATTA